AGCAGTGTATTATCTTTTAAGGTCACCCTTAGTCTGTATCGGAATCATAAATTTAGATAGGTATTTGATGTCATGTTTGGGTCTATTCTTATATAATATAGGTATCTTCAGTATTTTACCAGTTTGCGGTCTTTATATCATCATTTTACATTATTTTTAGCTGTCAACGGGGCTTTTCTCCTTCTGTGGCCATCCAATGCCTGGTTTGAACTGGGAGCCAGTGATGGTGGAAGGTGAATTCAGTCACCTTTGTTTTTCTGCCAGTTTTTGTTTAACAATGTCCTGCGTGCTTACTTTGCCCCTGGTAAGATATACCCTCCAGATGACTCACAATTTATATATTGTTGTTAACTTCACATTGTGTGCGTATAAATGTATGTGTTGATTGTTCCTTATAACATGCATATATACCTTGGATTGTTACTGACTGACAACATGCTGTTGTTCTCATGTAGTGATAAATATTTCAGCATTCATAAGTCTCCCGAAGAAGCCATACTCATACAGTAGCTTACAATGTAGCGCCCACCTAGGTAGGTTACTAGGATGATAAGTAAATTTAGTTATTTTTGACCAGTTAAATCCAGCGGTTTATTTGGGGCTAGGACTACATCTAGAAGCAGAATAATGAAATAATAGTTACATTCAGGTGCCAAGCTACATGGGAATTTGTAGCTGCAACATAGTTAGGGCCAGATATCAGTTGTGCATGGGGGCACCCCAGACTTGTCCTCAAGTCCTATCAATGATTTTTGCTTTGTGACTATCCACACAGGTAGCTAAAGAGCATTGCTAAGACAGAGATTACTATACTTCATACATATGTGCAAAGATGGACTGTTGACAGGACAGGTTTGGGAAATATTAATGTGCATCTTATATTACCCCTCAAGTAAATAACATACCTGAAACAACATGTAGAGACTGCAACTTGCGCAATTTACATAAATAGAACACACAGACAGCAGTAGTCAGACAATGACCAGAAACTACAGATTTAAAATTTGATCTCGAGTACATTTGTAAAGAAAAGAAATATGCAAGAGAGAAAGGATATTGGAAATCAATCACAAATATTCTTTATTGTGTACATACTGTATACCTTCTATACTGATGACAAGTGAAAAAAGCAGCTCTTACCTTATTCTCAGAGCAACATGTTGACAGTTTTCCACTGGAACCCTAAGGTTTTCTACCTTTAAGTATGCAGCACAGACTTTACCCTGCTGCTAGTGCAGGTTCAAAGATCATTCATGTGCCAATAAGAGCCTTACACAGCTAACAGGATAAATTATGTGACAAGTTAATCAGTTTTCAGATATATTATGCTTAAAGCTGCACTCTATGCAGGTAAAAAAGAAACACCATATAATGCATAAAAGCAATAGAGTAAAAAAAATTAAAAGTAGAAATCAAGCTCTGCTGCATGCACATGGGCTGACCATGTTGAGAAGACAGGGTAGAGGAATGACCTCATCAGTTTTCTGCTCCCTCATTTTCCAATTACAGGCTGAGGAGAGGGCGGTGACCAAACTGTACTGCTTAACTGCAGTAGAAAAAAAGCAAGGTCACTGAATGAACAGCCAGTGTTGTTTACAGAATACACAGCCTTCTGTGAATGGCCAAGGGCAGTGGAGGGGCACATAAACAACACATGGCAACCAATCAGCTTCTACCTTTTTAATTTAAATTTTCAAAGCTTAAAGGGTAACTCCACCTTTGTGGGGGAAAAAAATAATATAGCATATACAATTGCAACACAAGTCATATTGTGATTGAATGTTATTAAAAATGACCTTTCCTTTTCAATCTGCTGAGCTGTAATTTTCTGTAAAAAACAATGCAATATGGCTACCTGGAAGCGTTCTGTACACAGATGGTGTACAGAACTCCCCCCATGAATGTCATTTCCTGCTTGTCTGATTGGCTCACTGATTTTCCCAGAAGTCTGCACTAAGATAAAATCAATGTTTGGGTATCCCCTGCAGTAAAAATGATATTTTTGGTGAGATACTCCCAAAGGGAAATTGTGTCTAAAGTGATGCAGACCCTGCCACTTTCCTCATTAGAATACTGCAAGTGTAGCAGCTGACTGATAATGATAAAATCACTCCCATTCCTATTCACTTTGCACATGGACACAGACAAACAGCTATTTCTTAAGAATAACAAAAGGTAAGAATCTGCAACAAAGTGTGTTCAAATCTTTGCAATATACACTGATCATTCAGAGGGGAATGTTTTTCTAAACAAAAGTGGAGTTACCCTTTAATTGAACATGCTGAAGTTAGAAGCTTATAGGTTACTTTGCGCAGCTGCTTTAGATACTGCTTGCTTCAGTTTCAGTAATTTCCTCCCACTAACTCATCTGTGTACGAGAGCTGCAGTGGACGGATGTTAGACATGTGAGGTTTATTTCGTTCTGAATTCGAACAGAATTTTTCATTATTCGGGCATACAGATGTCTCCAAATTTCCAAATTACTTTAGTAACAAATCTGAAATAACAAAATGAAATTTGGAAGAAATTCAAATTGAATTCAACTCAAATTCGAATACGAACAGATTAGAAGAGAACATAAAAGAACAGAATAGAATAGGTTAGAATATAATAGACAATAAAAGAATAGCATAAAATTAATAATAGCGCCTATGGTCAAAATTGTATAACTTACTAATAGTGTACCAGCTGAACAGAAAAAACCACCATATATAAAGTGTACCAATTAATAAATAATTTGCGCTAGTAAATATATATAAAAAATATGTAAAGAAATCATCAAATCATAAGTCCATAAAAAAATATATATATACCAATACCACAGAAAAATATCAAAAATTTTTTTAGGTGCAAAAAAACTTTTGTGCAAAAGGAGTGTCTCAATATAAAAAAGAAAATGAAACAAAAAGAATTCTCAATATAAAAAAAATTTCACGAAAAAACCTTGATAATATAATGGCAGATCATCCATAAAAATATCTTCAGAAACGGAAGCTCTCCAACACACCGATCCTCATCGATCGAAATAACAGGACGAAAAACTTTGTAGTTAATCGAAAATCCACTTCTCCAATAGAAAAAGGACCACCTTCAAACGTATCCATGGGGGGAAATGCCAAGCACTCGAGAGAAACAGTAAAGACTTCATGGTGCAATATTATAAAAACCAATTCCTTTATTAGATACTCATTGCACTTACTCAAGAGGTGTCCCAGCCGACACCAGCATCAACAGCATCAACAGCAATCACACATAAACGAGCCTGGCTACTCAGCACATGTGCAATAGCTGGCAGTCAAAAACGTAATGACATCACATCAATCAAGTGAATATCTCCTAAACGTGCGCCATTTTGGAGATATTCACGCTGGATGCAGGCGATGATGTCACCGGCACATGCGCTCCGAAGGGACAGCATACCCGTGTCGTGCCTTCAGAGCTCTGTGCTGCAAACCGTGACATCAACACGGCTCAGCCATTCAAAGGACTCAAGCCAGTGAACCCGGAAGACCAGGTGAAGATAGAAGCCCTGTCAGCGGTGAGATGTTGTTCTAAAGTATTTCATAATGTACTAGTATGAGATGATAAAGAGGATCATGAATGTGCTTCTGGCGCCACTCAAGACTGACAAAGGACGAAGATCACCCCGCTGGCAAAGAAGAAAAGATGGGAGCAGTGTCCCAAGTAACTCCAGACACTAAGCAGTACAGATGAAGGTGGACACCACTGGAACCCATCCCCAGGAGTCAGAGAAGAACGGCATGTGGTAGGATGGCCTCAGCCGTCACTCTGGCCACGTTCACTGATGCGTTTCGCCCTGCTCATAGGGGGCTTGGTCACGTGAGGGAATGGCCAGAGCGATGGCTAAGGCCATCCTACCACATCCCGTTCTCTGACTCCTGGGGATCGGTTTGAGCAGCGTCCACCCTAATCTATGACAAAGAGGATGATTCAACCTTAGTTGGAAAAACTGCAGCTCAGCTGATCGTGTTTTCTGCTCTCCCCCCCCCCAATTGGCAGGTATAACAGGTCAAAAAAAGGAAAAAAAAGAACAAAAATGTGAAAAAAAGAAAAACGCAGCTACATCTATGGACCAGTAAGCTTCAATACTATCTAGATTTACTTTCATTCAAAATTTTTAGCAAAGGATGAAGTGAAAGGGCGCAAAGCATGAAGTGAAAGGGCGCAAAGCATGAAGTGAAAGGGCGCAAAGGATGAAGTGAAAGGGCGCAAAGCATGAAGTGAAAGGGCGCAAAGCATGAAGTGAAAAGGCGCAAAGGATGAAGTGAAAGGGCGCAAAGCATGAAGTGAAAGGGCGCAAAAGGATGAAGTGAAAGGGGCGCAAAGGATGAAGTGAAAGGGCGCAAAGGATGAAGTGAAAGGGCGCAAAGCATGAAGTCAAAGGGCGCAAAGGATGAAGTGAAAGGGCGCAAAGGATGGAGTGAAAGGGCGCACAGGATGAAGTGAAAGGGCGCAAAGGATGAAGTGAAAGGACGCAAAGCATGAAGTGAAAGGGCGCAAAGGATGAAGTGAAAGGGCGCAAAGCATGAAGTCAAAGAGCGCAAAGGAGGAAGTGAAAGGGCGCAAAGGATGGAGTGAAAGGGCGCACAGGATGAAGTGAAAGGGCGCAAAGGATGAAGTGAAAGGACGCAAAGCATGAAGTGAAAGGGCGCAAAGGATGAAGTGAAAGGGCGCAAAGCATGAAGTCAAAGGGCGCAAAGGATGAAGTGAAACGGCGCAAAGCATGAAGTCAAAGGGCGCAAAGGATGAAGTGAAAGGGCTCGTCCCATTTCCTCATATGTGCAGTTGCACATTAACGACAGCTACTTCATTTAAAACCGCTTTCAAGAACAACGACAACCACAACATGGCCGCGCACGCAGCAGCCTGATACACACGCCCTCCCCAATATGGCGGAGCGCCTTAAGTTGACGTACGTCCGCTAGGTCGTCGTGACGTGAGGTCGTCGCTAGTTCGGTGTCCTTGGTTGTTGGAAGATCATGGGTTACTGGGATATTCCGGACGGAACGAAGTGCGGGGAAAAGACATGGCTGACGACGAAGATAGCCACGGGGCTGGGTATGGGGCTTGCAGTACGAGAGGGATGGGCTGTATGTTGGGTGTATCGCAGGACAGGCAGGTGTGTGTGGCCTATGGAGGAGAACTTGTGCTTGGACCGTGTGTGCTCTCATTGGATTGTGTACGGCTTAAAGGGACCGTGTCACCAGAATGAAATGACAGTGCACCCTGTACTCTGGGGCCTTATGCATTTGGGTGCATGAGGCTGTACACCAGTGTTGCCATCCTGCCAAATTGAAATTCCCAGCCACAACACCCAAAATGTATTTTCACAGCTGACATTCCAAAACTTACAAAATTACAGTTAAGTGCAGATTTTGGTATTTAAGCTACATTGATTATCAGTGCCTGTCATAGTGCAGACTGCTTCTCCCTTTTAGGGTCCCGGTGCGGACTGCTTCTCCCTTTTGGGGTCCCGGTGCATTCTGTGCAAAAATCATGTATATAAATGTGATTTTGCCTTCTGCTACTGTGTGGGGGGCACGCATGTCTTGTCAGAGCACCATTTCTGCTGTGATTGGACACAGCAGAAGCTCATCAACAGGTGCTGTCCATTGGATGAGTTCCGGTACCTGTTGATCTCCAAGGAGACACATAACACAGCTCTGACTGTGTAAAAAAATGCAGAACTGTGTTATGTCAAGGGCAATCTGCTAGATTTTACTCAGGGAATAAAATCTAGCAGATTGCCTAGTAAAAAGAGAACACTGTACACACAAACAGTGGCTAGACACACAATTAACCCTTTGATCGCCCTAAATGTTTAACCACTTCCCAGCTAGTGTCATTAATACAGTGACAGTGTATATTTTTAGCACTGATCACTGTTTTGGTGTCACTGGTTCCCACAAAGTGTCAGTGTCAGGCTGTCCACTGTAATATTCCACAAAGTGTCAGGCTGTCCACCACAATATTGCACTCCTGCCATAAGTCGCTGATCGCCATCATTACACATATATATAAAAAAAATATAGCATCTAGAAATGGTTTATATACACTGGAAATATATATATATATATATATATATATATATATATATATATATATAATTCCAGTATATATATATAAAAATTCCAGTTTGTAGACGCTATGTAGACGCTATGTTTTTTTTTTTTTTTTTTTTACATTTTTATTTGATGTTTTAAAGACAGAAAGTAAAAGTGTTTGACATTTTAAAAAAAAAAAACAAATTAAGTGTTTTTTCATTTATAGCACAAAAAATAACCCAGAGGTGATCAAATACCACTAAAAGAGAGCTCTATTTGTGAGGAAAAAAGACATCAATTTAATTTATGTACAGCGTTGCATATTTGAACCTTACAAACTAAGACTGGGATGCCATTAAACTTCATGGCAGGAGAGTGATCAATCCTCTTAAAGTGAAGGATGTTTCTTTACTTCGGTGCATGCTATGCTATTCAGCATTGTGCATGAGAGCAGTGGCTCTCTCTCTCCCCCCTCATAGGCTCAGAGACAATCACAGCCAGTGAGGAGAGAGCGGGGGTGGAGCTGAGGCTTGCTCTGTATGTATGTCAATGGACACACAGAGCACCCCTACACAGGGTGCCACCTTAACAAGCAGTTTGCTATGGGGGTGGGGGCATTCAGCAAGGGGAAGCAGCCAGGAGCACCAGCTTGGTACCCCAGAAAGGGAGAATTGGGGTTTTTCTGTGCAAAACCATTACATGGAGCAGGTAAGTATGACATGTTTATTTTAAAAAATAAAAATTGTAGATTTACAATTACTTTAACCTCCCTGGAGATGAGTATCATTGCCTGTGAAAAAAAAAAAAAAGAAAAGGGGGCTGAACTAACATTAACCCCTTCACGCCGGATCGTCCCAGCGTGAAGAGGAGTTCCTGCGCCGGGAGGTGGACGGAGCTTAGTGTCATGTGGCCGCCGTGACGTCACAGCCGGTCACATGATCGGGAAAGGTCCTGATCAAAAGAGCGGACTGGGACTTTTCTGTGAGTACCGCACATGTGTGCTGGGAGCGCGCAGGGCGCGCGCTCTCAGCACATATGTTTTTTGTTACATGAACGCAAATGTGCGGGCCGCTCGGCGTCTAGGCCCAGACGCCGGGAGGCCGCACGTTTGCGTGCGGCCGGCGTGAAGGAGTTAAGATATTTGAAATTTCATGCATTTACATTGGTCTGTCACTCTCTCATATCAAGCACACCTAAACCATGTATTCAAGTCGACACTTTCAACAGGTTACTGTTGGAAGGATAGGCAGGTGAACAAAACCTGCCATGACCAAAAAACATTTGGAGGCTGCTATTACTGATTTTTCCTACTGAAAATGCTAGCTGCTTTGTCATGCTCACCTTCTGCTAAACTATAATATTCATCTTTTTTCCCCTTTAGGTGTGATGGGATCTACATATCACGTAGTCATTTTCCAACCTAAGACAGTAATGGAGGGCATTAAAAGAGCAGGAGGTGCAACTCTTACTATGGGTATGTTTTAATGAAAGTATTTGGAAATATCACTATGAACCTATTTGATCCAGTAAATGTAAGAGACTGTGTTATCGGACATTAGTCCTGTGTTTCTGGCATCATTTTGAGATGTTTTTAATAATATTCAAAGTTCACTGGGCAGTGCAGTTGACTTCCTTTTTGCATTTGGCCTGCTTCAAGTAGATTTTGTATTCCCATTGACTTAGGTATAGGAATTCAAAACCAGTTTCATGCAAACAAAAGCAGGGCTTTGGACTTTCTTTTTTTTTTTTTTCTTTAACCACTTGCCATCCAGAGGATTTACCCCCTTTCCTTACCCGGCCTCTTATTGCTACTCGGCGCTGCACTAATTCAGCTGATAATTGCGCGGTCATGCAATGCTGCACCCAAAATTTACATCCTTTTTTTTTCACACAAATAGAGCTTTCTTTCAGTGGTATTTGATCACCTGTGCGCTTTTTATTTTTCACGCTATAAACAAAAAAAGACTAAAAATTTTGAAGCTATAAAAAATATATAGTAAACTCAAAGTTGGTTATAAATTAGGCTAAAATGTATTCTGCTACATGTTTTTGGTAAAAAAAAATCCCAATCAGTATATATTGATTGCTTTGTGTGAAAGTTATAGCGTCTACAAACTATGGTATACCGTATTTTTCGCTCCATAAGACGCACCTGACCATAAGACGCACCTAGGTTTTAGAGGCAGAAAACAGGAAAAAAAAATTTCTGAACTAATGGACTGCAGACATAGTACAGGAGATGACCAGAGACTGCGGACACAGTACAGGAGATGACCAGAGACTGCGGACACAGTACAGGAGATGACCAGAGACTGCGGACACAGTACAGGAGATGACCAGAGACTGCGGACACAGTACAGGAGATGACCAGAGACTGCGGACACAGTACAGGAGATGACCAGAGACTGCGGACACAGTACAGGAGATGACCAGAGACTGCGGACACAGTACAGGAGATGACCAGAGACTGCGGACACAGTACAGGAGATGACCAGAGACTGCGGACACAGTACAGGAGATGACCAGAGACTGCGGACACAGTACAGGAGATGACCAGAGACTGCGGACACAGTACAGGAGATGACCAGAGACTGCGGACACAGTACAGGAGATGACCAGAGACTGCGGACACAGTACAGGAGATGACCAGAGACTGCGGACACAGTACAGGAGATGACCAGAGACTGCGGACACAGTACAGGAGATGACCAGAGACTGCGGACACAGTACAGGAGATGACCAGAGACTGCGGACACAGTACAGGAGATGACCAGAGACTGCGGACACAGTACAAGGGATGACCAGAGACTGCGGACACAGTACAGGAGATGACCAGAGACTGCGGACAGCACGGGGATGACCAGAGACTGCGGACAGCACGGGGATGACCAGAGACTGCGGACAGCACGGGGATGACCAGAGACTGCGGACAGCACGGGATGACCAGAGACTGCGGACAGCACGGGGATGACCAGAGACTGCGGACAGCACGGGGATGACCAGAGACTGCGGACAGCACGGGGATGACCAGAGACTGCGGACAGTACAGGAGATGACTGCTGACCTTTGGGGAGGTGGGGAGCGGGTACCTGAATTTGACAGGTACCCGCTCTTACTTCCGCAGAGTTGTTCTTTGATCTTACCTGTTCCTCTATCCAGCCGCGTGCTGTCTTCCCGGCTTCTGTAGTGTGGGCGCTCGGCATGACAGCCGGGTGCCCAGTGCACATGAGCGAGAAGCACTTGCGCTTTGTGATTGGTCCGGCGACTTCCGGGATCTGTCATGTGTCCCAGGTAAGGTCACCGCCTTACCATTCACAAAAAGCACCGCTTCTTGCGCATGCGCACTTGGCACCCGGCTGTCAAGCCCAGCGCCCACACTACAGAAGCCGGGAAAGACAGCACGCCGCTGGATAGAGGAACAGGTAAGGTCCCGCTGCAGAGCTGAGCGGCCGGCCCGGTATTCTGACGCGGCGGTGGAAATACCGGACCGGCTGCTCCATATTCGCTCCATAAGACGCACTAACATTTTCCCCCCTTTTTTGGGGGGAAAAAGTGCGTCTTATGGAGAGAAAAATACGGTAGATACTGCAATTTACGACTTTTTTTGCTATACAGCGCTGCGCTAGTTTAATGGACAATTGCGCGGTTATGCAATACGGTACATAAATGAAATTTATGTCCTTTTTTTTTGTCACACAAATAGAGCTTTCTTTTGGTGGTATTTGATCACCTGTTCACGTTTTATTTTTGGCACTATAAACAAAAACATTTTTGAAGAAAAATTTTTTTTTTGAAAAAAACAATATTTTCTCCATTTCAGTCATAAATAGCCAAAAAAACTAAAATTTTGTTATAAATTTAGGCCAAAATGTATTCTGCTACATGTTTTTGGTTTTTTTAAAAAAACCCCAGTAAGTGTACATTTATTGCTTTGTGTGAAAATTATAGCGTCTACAAACTATGGAATTTACACAGCTTTTCCTTTCTGACTGCCCATCACATTTCATGAGGTGCTAAAATGCCAGGATAGTACAAACACCTTCAAATGACCCCTTTTCATAAAGTAGACACCCTAAGCTATCTGCTGAAAGGCATATTGAGTCCATGGAAGATTTATTTATTTTTTTTCCACAAGTTTCTGGAAAATGACAAAAACATATATTTTTTTTTTTGTACACAAAGTTGTCATTTAAATGATTTATTTCTCGCACAAGCCATGGGTATATGTGGAATTACACCCCAAAATACATTCTGCTACTTCTACTGAGTATGAGGATACCACACGTGTGAGACTTTTTGGGAGCCTAGCCACATACAGGAGCCTGAAATCCAATGACCACTTTGAAAGCCTGCAGGTGCGTAACTTCCTCATTTCACTTCCTCAATACCTATCACGGTTTCGAAGGCCCAAGCATGCAAGGATAGCACCCCCCCCCCCCCCCCAAATTACTCCTTTCTGGAAAGTAGACACCCCAAGGAATTTAAAAAGAGGCATGGTGAGTATTTTGCAGATCTAATTTTTTCTCACAAGGTTTTGAAATATAAAAAAAATAGAAAAAATATTTTTGTTTTTTTCCTCTTCGTTTTCCAAAAACTTGTGGCAACAAATGAGATCTGCAAAATACTTACCATGCTTCTTATCAAATTCCTTGGGGTGTCTACTTTCCAAAAAGGGGTCATTTGGGGGGGGGGGTTAGGTTCTACCCTGGCATTTCCGGGCCTCCGAAACTGTGATATGTAGTCTGGAAGTGTAATGAGGAAGTAAAGCCCTTTAAAAGCCTGAAGGTGCTTATTGGATTTTGGGGTCCTGTACTTGGCTAGACAGCCAAAACGTCTCGCATGTGGTACCCCCATACTCAGGAGAAGTAGCAGAATGTATTTTCGGGAGTAATTCCACATATACCCATGGCATGTGTGAGCAGTAAATCATTTAAGTGACAATTTTGTGTAAAAAAAAAAAAAAAACAAAAAAAAAACATTTTTTGTCATTTTCCAAAAACTTGTGGTAAAAAAAAAAATAATTCTTCTATTGATTCAACATACCTCTCGGCAAATAGTTTGGGGTGTCTACTTTCCAAAAAGGGGTTGTTTTGGGGGGTGGGGGTATTTTATGCTCAGCATTAGAAGTTTATGCCACACATCATTCACTCTTCTAACCACCTGAAGACCAAGCCTTTTCTGACACTTTTTGTTTACATGAAAAAAATCCGTCTTTTCTGCTAGGAAATTAATTTAAGTTATTTTGATTTTTTTAATTATTTTTACTGTCCTTTTTTTAATTATTTTTTTTTTATTACTTTTAATGCTATAACAGGGAATGCAAATATCCCCTATAACTTCAATGGGCATTGTCATATATTCTTTTTTTGAGAAATCTGGGGTCTATCAGACTCTAGATCTCTCTTCTGCCCTTACGTTATTTAATCAAACCAAAATCGGTGTGATCAAATGCTTTCCAAATTTACAAAAGGTGCTGTTTATATCTTGCGAAACTGAAGTGATGAAATGCTTGTAGCTTCCAAATTCTTAGGCTATAGAGATGATTGGTACCATTCTGGTCTCCAATCAGCTCTATGGTAATCTGGCAGAAACACCAGCTGCATTCTCAGGTTCCCCTTATGGCACGGGACTGCCCGAGAAGGCCATGGGAGGGAGGGTATTGTCTCCCAGTGCTTGTAAAAGCAATCCTGCAGTTAGTTAGCCCCTAGGATTGCTTTTACATGAAAGCTGATCGCCAGCTGAAAAAAATGATACCAGGATGATGCCTGCAGCTATAGGCATCATCCTGGTATAACCACTCAAAGTCCAGTGATGTACCAGCATGTCGCTGGTCCTTGTTGGGTATATATGCTACGTCCTTTTATGTTTTTTTTGTTTTTTTTGTATGCGGCCTGTGGACTGAATGAAAAAAAGAGAAGAAATCTCTGCCAAAAAAAAAGTGTGTGGTATGCCCACCATTAAAATATACTGCCCTGCATCCACCCACTTCTAATGGTGGGCACACATTAGGTACACTTTGTCACAAATGCCAGTTCCAAGATTGTACAAATGTCTAAATAGTGGCACACTTGAATAAAAATTGTCCACGTATAAGTGGTACCCCATATGGAGAAAGGATGACACCAAGTCCCAAACTATCTTGCCACTGCTTCCCATGTAGTCTGGGCATCCGGGGGGCTCCACGTGACTATCTTTTCCCTCGTAAAACCGAAACGCATAACTATAGCCTGTTGCCCTCTCACAGGTCTTCTACATCTTGACCCCATATCTGGCATACTTGCAGGGGAGAAATTTTTGAACGCAAGGCAGCCAGAAAAATTAATTAGGGACTCATCAACGTAGATATTTTGCTGGGGAGTATAGACATCTGCAAATGTTTGATTAAGGAGATTTGCGAGGGGCTGAATTTCGTGGAGCCGGTCAAATTCAGGGTCACCCCGAGGATGACAGAGTGTATTGTCGCTGAAATGCATA